TCGTGAAACCGCATATGTATACCGCTTACGTATAGACGTCGAAATTGCCAACAGACGTTGATTGGGCGCAATTGAATTGGGGCGACGATCGATTTTTTTCGACAATATCCATATCGCGTAAAATCGAATCCTTGATCGAACACAGATCACTCGCGGATGAGATGCGAGACGAACCACGAAATTTAATTTTGCTTGATTTTCAGGAATATCAGAGAACATGTGGATAGGGTAAAGTTTGCATAAAGGAAATAATTCTCTTCGAAAATTTTTGTCTCCGGTAGTCGGCATGACAAATGTCTACGTTAATATAATTTTAAATAATATCTTGTTTTTTTTTTTTTTTTTTAAGTAGTTGAGTTGCTTCGCATTTCAAGTTGTTCGTTAAATAGCACAAAATTGTACGCATATGTGAAAAAGACATATAAATTAAATTTTGTTGGTGTATATTCGTGAAAGCTGGCTCTACCGTGTGCCGTGTAACTGTTTTCGTTATATTTAATTAATTACGATAAAAAAACTCATTTTCCCAATTATGATACATCTTACGATTAATCTTACTTCGCTAATTACGATATAATTACTTAAAACTTGAATTCACGTTGTGTAAATTTTTATAAATCGAAGAGCAGGTGCGTGGCTGTTTACCGTCATATATTGAACGTAAATGGCAGATTGCTAAATTAACTCTGGCTCGAGTATTTGCAGACAACTGCAATAGCAGATGCAGATGCAGATGCGCGTTTAAAGACCGCTATCTTCGATTATTATTCTGTTAAAGCTGTAACGGATGTTTTCGATAACGTTACGTTATGCCATCGGACGATGTACCTGCGTTAACTCATTAAGATTCGATTGATAGATAAACTAAACTATATCACGAATATCCAGAAGTTTCTCACAACGATAACAATAACACACGTTGTTAATTAAGTTAACAACGAAATTAAGAGGTGAGATATTTTTTAAACAGCGTACACAGCGCTTAAACACAGTGCACTTCTGTGCACTTCTTTGCAAGAAATATTCCAGTGAAATCGCGGAAGAGAAAACTTTCAGACTAACTTGTGAAATAAACCGGCCAAGTGATGAGTTTAAATAGAGATTACTACGCTAATTAAGTTATATTCCATTCAGGTAATAACGACTCGTCTTTAGTAATACCTCGGGTCTGCGGGATCCTCTGGTGATTTATCTCTTCATCCTGGTAATCTTCGTCGAGATAGCTTGGTTCTTTGGAGGAAGACTCCATGCTCGTAGCCATTAGCTATCATCGAGATTTTGTAAATATTGGGACGTCGTAATCCGCGTTATCGAATACGTGACATCAAGATCTAGATTTTCCTTTTGCGGCTACTATAAACTTTAGTGGATATCGAATATCGTAACTATGTCTCTTGTTTTGCATCGAGTGACGTCACGTGAGTGCACGTTGTCGTTAAAATAATCTCGCCGTGTTTGCGATGTGACAGTTACAACAAAACATCTCTGACGTAAAATATGATGTTGTAACGACAACAATTTCTTCATATATTTAAATTATTATTAAATAAAAGTTAGGAAATGTATATAAAATTTTGTGCTCTATATATATCTTAAT